CGCCGAAGAGTGGTTCGGGAGGCTGACGTCTCCCGGGGGCCCTCTGCCAGGAGTCGCGAAGCAGAGGGCAGCGAGACGCTCGCGTAGAGCAGCGACAGTGCCAGAATGAGTGTGTGAATGACGACCCCCCAAGCACGCGCTGCTCAGTCCTCTCACCCGATGGGGCACCGGATACCAGAGGGTACCGACCTGTGGGGTCTCCCCCAGGCACGCACCGCTCAGTCTCTACACCCGTCGGGGTTTCGAGGACCAGAGGGTGCCGACCTCGGGGGTCAGAGAGATGGATTGCCAAATCAGAGAAGCCAAATGAAGAAGCGACGTCGAGCCACTTGTCAAGCTTCCCTTCAGTTTCTGAGATGGCCTCTGCCTTGGGTACCAGCGATGCAGTTCTTCCAGTTCTAATTCTTACGGAAAACCAGGTCTTGTGTCAGTGCGATCGGGTCGAAGTTGGCAACGCCTACATCGGAAGCAGATGCCAATCGAGTGCTTAGTGCTCTCAACTCGACCTACTTGGGCAATATGAAGCAGCAGGCCACACCATGGCAACATAAGTTTTCCTGCGATATGACGAAGAATTCTGCGGTCGGGCGGGTCCAGGCGCGTGCCATCCAGCACGCTAAGGACCAACTCTATGCTCGCCGACTGTATCCAGTGACGGGTGTGCAGGCGACGTGTGAGCTATTGAAGTTGGACCAGATAGGCTACCGAAGAGTGCTCGAGAGAGACGTCCACACGGAGTTTGTGGCGGACAGAGTGGACGAGGTTACGGCGATGAAGGAGGTCCCACTTCTCGAGGCGCTGCCCGAGGATGAGGCGGCGTCCTATGCGAAGGTGGAGAACGTGATCGAGATGGCGGGCAAATCTACATGCAGCACGTGGAAGAGCTAGAGAGGCAGTATGGTTTCTTTGGCGGTCAGATGGAGCAGTGGATTTCTTACTTGCATCGAAAGGATCTTCCCCTCGGGACTGTGGGTGTTCAAGCCGAGAAGCGACGTAGTGACGATAAATGGAGTCTCGGCTGTTTTGAGAAGGGCGGCTACAAGTTGAGGAAACTTATCATGGCGGTGCCTACCAACTTTCTCTGGGGCGATGTACGGCGTCGAGGCGAGCACGGTCTCGGAGGTGGAGGGGCGCTGGCTATGATGCGAGCGCCGGGCATGGATATTCACATGGCACGGTGTGACGAGAGCAACGCGTTTTCTTCGGTATCCTTGCCAGAGTGGGTGTGGAAAAAGGATGGCTACGCCAGCTATCCCTGCAGCAGCTGTGTGGTCCTTACTGCCTGAGGACATGAGGAGCTCGCTTCAGGAGTGGTCTCTGGTGTGCCCTTGTTACACCAGGCTGCCGATAGGCTTGTCTCATGCGGTCCACATCCTGATGTGCATCAACTTGGAGGCGGTGGGTAGGGCGCTGGTCAGAACAGCCGCTCTGGGGGACTCCCTGACGAGTAAGACGAGGGAGCTGCCCGACGAGGCCGTCGTGGAGGACGTCGAGTGGGTCAAGGAGAAGGGCAGGCGTCGAGCTGAGCGGCGCCAAGAGGCAGGACTCTCGCCACAGGAGTTCCGAGCTAAGGTCCGCGACCTGAAGCAGGAGCGGCACCGTGTGATCATAGTGCTGCACACCTTCGCGGGCGGCAGGAAGAAGATGGACGTTCAACACTATGTGGAGGAGTTCGCAGTCGAGTACGGGGTGCCGCTCTTTTTCTTCGGGGTCGATCTCGCCTTCGACCACAGGTGGGACCTGGCTGAACCCTCCCTGATCGCGATGCTGTTGGAGATGATTGAGCAAGGCCCAATCGACATAATCATAGGTGCCCCGCCCTGCGCAACGTGGAGCAGGGCTCGCTTTCATGGAGGTGGCCCTCGCCCTCTTCGCTTTCGATCGGAGCCCTTGGGCAGGAGTGACCTGACGAAGGAGGAGCGCGAGAGGGTCACGGAGGCGAACGTCCTGCTGTTCAACCACCTGGCCCTGTGCGATGTGGGGGAGCTATACGGGGGGGTACCTGTTCGAGCACCCGACGGATCCGGAGGAGGAACCCTACTCGAGCATCTGGGACCTGGAGGCGGGAGGGCATGCTGGAGCGACGCGGCGTGCGGGCCACCAGGATCGACCAGTGCATGTATGGTGGGTCGTCAAAGAAGCCCACCACCCTGGCTTCGAACCTGGACGGCATCGAGGAGCAGGCGCTGTCGTGTGATGGCAAGCACCGTCATGAGAAGGCCTTTGGGAAGGATGAGCGCGGCATCTTCAGGTCGCGCAGGCTACAGTCCTACCCTCCAGGGCTGTGCCGCATGGTCGCCCTGAGTGTGGTCAGGACGGCGCTGCGGATGCTGACCACGGGTCGTGGACCAGGTGGGTGGCTGAGGACGGGGCGTGAGAAGCCTCGTCGCACGCAATGGAGCTACGAGAAGGAGAAGGAGGGCCTCGTTGTGCTGAATGAGCTCTACCGCTGGGGTGGCCGCGTGAGGCTGTGCCCTGGCTTTCAGGCGATCTACGTTCACGTGGGCGATGGGCTGAGTGCCGCAGCGTGTCCCAGGGGAGGATCGGCGGACAAGATGAGCGAGCAAATGATGCAGAAGGTCGCCGACGCGTGGGAGCAGGCCGGGTTCGTCGTCAACGAACGCGAGACGATCGAGGAGGGCTCCAATATCGTGGGCTATGAGTTGCAGAACTGTCCGCCGCGCCTGAAGCTGGCGAGCGCCAAAGCCAGCTACTTGGAGGCGGCGCTGACGTGGATCATGGAGACGCCCTGGATAGACGCGGAGTCGCTCAGGGCCCTGGTGGGTGTGTGGCTGTGGGGGGCGCTGCTGAGGCGCGAGCTCATGGCCGTCCCTGCCGCTGTCTTCGACCTACTGGAAAAAAGGCAGGGGCAAGTCGTGCGCTGGTGGGCGTCGGTCCGCCGTGAGGTGCGCGTCATGAGGGACATGATCCCGATGATGACCTGTGTGTTGAACCTGCCCGCGGCCCCTTTCCTGTTCGCGTCGGACGCGGAGGGTGCCAATGAGATCGATCACGGCGGATATGGCATTGTCGGCACGCCCATCGCCATTGAGGAGTCGGAGGAGGTGATAGGAGCAGGGACGAGGCCTGGCCATACTGTATCAAGACTGGACGGCACGGTCCTACACTTGAATCGTGCCGACCGTGAACTACGAGGGCGCATCCCAGTCTCACGCATCCCGCGTGAGATGCTACAGATCCCGCAAGAGATGTGGCACGAGCTGGATGCCAGAAGGTGGCTAGTCCCGGATCACATCATTCTGGGCGAGGGCCGCGCCGTGGTCAGACTATGCCAGGCTCTCTCTCTGCTTCCAGGAGCCCATGATCACGCCATCTGCAACATGGAGGACAATGAGCCTTTGGCCTCAGCAGCGGCGAAGGGGCGGTCGTCGGCCCCGCATCTGAACTACCTGCTGAGGAAGATAAGTGCTCTTTCAGTGGCGACGGGCATCAAACTATCCTTACCCTGGGTGGACACCGCACACCAGACAGCAGATGAGTTGTCTAGAAGGAAGCGGCGTGGCTTGGTGTGCTCGGCGGGCGGGGCCTCGTCGAGTCGACCCTGACCAGGCTGCTCGGGTGACGGAGAAGACGTTGGAAGTTTATCGCAGCGCTGGGCTCAGGTTCTCAACTTGGGCCTTCAGCGCGGCCTACGTCCCAGCGGCGCTGACGAACGGGACGATCTTTTAGTTGAGTTCAAAAATGATCAGATTGTACACCTCACTCCGGCTAAGTTCGTGCATGCTGTTGTGGAGTTCTTCTTCTTCTTCCCTCGGATGCGAGGTAAACTTCTGTGGAGCAAGGCAGATATTGCTGGTTGGGAAAGAAATGTGGGGCGCAGACACGCGGTGCCTCTCGGGAAGTTGCCTGGCAAGCTCCTCGTAGTCCACATAGCTTCCCAGGGGAACCCCCGCTTGGGCCTTGCTCTCATCGTGCAGTGCCACACGGGTTTGCGTCCCTCGGAGCTCTTGGGAATATTACCTGCGGACCTCATCTTCCCTCGCGATCTGGGCGAGAACATCAACCTCGCCGCGGTATCCATTGCTCTTGGGGCTCGGACGGGGACGAAGCTCAAGAGGCCCCAAGTGGCCCGTATCTTTCAGGAGGACCGGGGCATCATGGAGGTGCTCGAGGACATCACGAAAGCCACCCCGGCTGGGACCCCGCTCTTCCCCTACAGCTTGGCTCAGTACCGCGAGGTTCTCAGGGGCACCGAGGGCTCGCTTGGATTATCCATGGGGTGGGGGCCTCACAGCCACAAAGCAGGATGGGCCAGTGACTCGAAGGCCGATGGGCTCTCGTTTGAAGAAGTTCGGGAGAGAGGGAGGTGGATTTCGGATGGGAGTTTGCGAATTTATGTCGACATCGTCGGTGCGAGCCACATCCTCACCCAGTTAAACACGAAGGGTTTCGCGCAACAGCTGTACTGGCTCAAGAGGGGCTGGCGCCACTACTTTCCAGCGTTCATTTGGGGGGCGCATCAATTACCAGCACATGGCTCTCAAGGGCTACGTGAAGGACAAGACCTCCAGGGGCTGGGTCAAGGGCCCCGAGCTGGCATGGATGGAGAACGTACCACCTCTGCCGAGCGCGCCCGGGACACCCACCAGCTGTATTCAGTGTACCAGCGCTCCTCCGTCGGGGGCGGCGTCCAGAGCGGCTTCTCCAGGGGCGGTCTCGCTGGTGCTCGCGCCGCCCAAGGCCGAGAGCCCTGGTCTGTCGCCGCCGCCCACAGTGCTCGCAGCGCCCCCTCCAGAGGCAGCAGGGCACGCGATGCCAGGAGGGCTGCAGTTCTACGCCCAGATCCAGCCCAGACTGCATCAGGCCAGGGTTTCAAAGGTGAGCTTCGTCAAGATGGCTGTCAATTGCAGTAGGGTGATCAGGTCAGTGTGTGGCCCGTGCTTCGTCCCTGCCATCCTCCTCATGGTGCTCTTCGTCACTGTCCCGCGAGTATCTTCCCTAACATGTCCAGGAGAGCCGAGGCTGCGGCGTCCTTGGAGGACGTGGCAGGGGCCGGTGGATCTGTGGCGCTCGCGGCCAGGAATCTCACCATGGCCGTGAGCGGAGTTGCGCTTTCAGTTGCAAGGAATTCGGCTACGTTTGTTGACGAAGCGTGGTCGGGCATAGATCTGCTGGGATGTCGCCTGAACGTGACAGGCGGTCGTTTCGTCGTCGACATCGGGCCACGCTCTCGCCCTAGTATGATGAAGGAGCTCGAGCGCGGCTTGACAGTTGTCCCAGATGACTTGGCGGTGGAATTGTGGGGATCAATCAGCGCTGTGTCAGTCCTGGCTCCCATTGCGGCGCGGCTCTCCTCTCAGTTCAACTTTACGGAGAGCTTCTTCATCTGGGACTGGGAGGTGCTCTTTGTTGAAAGGTGAGCTGGAACGCATCACGACTAGAGTCAAGGATGCTATCGAGGCGGCGGTCGACGCCTCGGTGCTCATGTCGCCGCTCACCGCGCGCGAGGTGATCCAGCTGCACACCGCTCGCCCGCCCTTCTGGTTTCGTCTCGGCAGATGGGCCCATTCTCAGTTTGATTGGCTGCGGTACGCTAGCGGGGTTTGGCTCTGAGGTCAGTGCAAAACCATATATTGATTCAGGTCGGACACCGGGGTTCGGCATCATCTCAGAGCCCGTTCTCAGACTACTGCTGGGAGTTCAGATTTCCTTTGATGAAGTGGATGAGGTCAATCAAAATTTGAAGCCCTCGGCCGACGGAGTTTGAATGGGGGCGAGTTTGCAGCGCGCAAGGACTGTAACGTGGCATGTGCTATGGCTTTGGTCATCTCGTGGTCTTTTGAAGATTGGAGTTGGTTATCGTGATAATCGTGAGTGGCGCTTGCTTTTTCTTTTTAGCATGTACAGGCTTCGCCTGAGGCGCGGACCCTATTGTACAGGCTTCGCCTGCACGTCCCTCGTCTTTCCTGACCCTTCCCCTGGCCGCCGTGGGGGCGGTGTGGGGGTCGGGTGGGTGGGTTTCTTGAGGCTTCCCGAACTCAACTCGTTTTGTACATTATGATGAAGTGAGAGTCTTCGAGCGGGTATTAATGTGTAGTGTTGGTCCAGCCTAGCTACCCAACCGCAAGCGTGCCTCCGTAGCTTTCGGGCCCAGCCCAATCCCACCCTTCGGGGGTTCAGGGGATTTTCCTTCGATGAAGTGGATGAGGTCAATCAAGATTTGAAACCCTCGGCCGAGGGAGTTGAATGGGGGCGAGGTTGCAGCACGTCAGGAGTGTAATGTGACATATGATATGGCTTTGGTACTCTCGTGGTCTGTTGAAAATTGGAACTGATTATCGTGATAATCGTGAGTGACGTTTGCTGTTTCTTTTATTAAGTACAGGCTTCGCCTGAGGCACGCACTCTACTGTACAGCCTTCGCCTGCACGTCCCTCGTCTTTCCTCGCCCTTCTCCTGGCCGCCGTGGGGGCGGTGTGGGGGTCGGGTGGGTGGGTTTCTTGAGGCTTCCTGAACTCAACTCGTTTTGTACATTATACGTAAAAACGTACATACATACAAACATACGTGCATTCACACATACATGCGCACGAACATACACACATACATACATACACATATATACATACATACACACACATACATATATTACATACGTCACATGCGTTCCATTCCACTACTGTACATTACACTGTATTGGATTGCGTGACGCTGCACTACATGACATTACATTGCATGACATTACATTACATTGGCACATACATACGTACGTACGTTCACACACATATACATACATGCATGCATGCATACATACATTCACACATACACATATACATACATATATACATACATACATATATATATGTATAAAACTATATATTCCTCTTCCTATATTTTTATAAGCCCGGGCGCGGGGAAAACCCGTCCCCCTCCCCCTAAAACCAGACCCCCGGGATCTGGAGCTTTGGGACCCTCCGGACGGGCCTCGAAGCGGCCCCTGGACCTCGCAAGGAGTTTTGCCAAGCTTTTGCAGCACACCCAGGGCGATCAGGGAGGTCACCGGAGACGTCCCAAAGACCCCCAAAACAGCACAAGAGCGCTCCAAGAAGCCGTCATACCCCGAAAGATCGCTCCAAAACGTACCAAGAGGCCTCCAAGAGCACCCCCAAGAAGGCCCCCAAAGGGACAAATCATTGATTATATATATATATAGGTTTTTGGTGCATTTGGGGTTCTCCTCTTTTCGGCTTCCCGATGCTCCAAGACGGCGGTCTCCTAGGCGTCCGAAGCCGCCTGGGATGCTCCAAAATCGCCCCACAACCATCCGAAAGGGCTTCCAGGCAGTCCAAGAGAGCCCCAAAACGGCACAACAGGAGTCCAAAATGGCCCTAAGAGAGAACCATGGCGGCCCAAGATGGCCCCAAGACACCCTCCGAAGCATTCCAAATCGTGACTGGGGCGTTCAGGGAGACCGCGGTTAGAGGCAGGTTGGCCTTAAGAAACCCCATGGCCCCCAGAACACACCCAGGAGGCCTCCAAAAGGCTTAAAAAAAGCCTCAGAATTTTGGTGAAGCCCCCAGAGGCTCTCCAAGGAGGAGCCTCCGCAAAAAGAGCTGAGGAGGATGGGGAATGCCCAGGTCATGGCGAGAATGAGGAACAAATAAGCATGGAGGAAGGATAACGAACAACATTATTATAACGGCGATGCCAGAAAAGACAGCAAGGAGTTATCGCTAAATTGTCAGCTTGACCTTCCTGCCATTTCCGCCTGCATACCAAACTTCAAGGACCAAGGTGCATGGCGCGAAGCGCCACTGCAGTCCTGTATATATATATATATATATATATATATATATATATATATATGTATGTATGTATGTATTTATGTATGTATGTATGTATGTATGCATGCATGCATGCATGCATGTATGTATATGTATATATACTAGAACCATCGCGCGCGCTTCGCGCGCGCTCAGGTTCTAGCCCAGGCCAGGGGCGCGCTTGAGGATCTTGGACAGCGCTATCAAGCACAGGCGCGTGACATAGTCGTGCCTCCTGAGGGCCTCTTGGAAACCTCTTGGGTCCTCGTGGGGGCATCTGAAGGGCTTCTGGGGGGCCCTCCATGCTTCCTCAATTGGCTGTTGCAAGCACATCTTGGGTGCTTCTCGGGGGGCATCTTGGGGCTTCTTGGGGTCCCTTGAGGGCATCGTCCGGGTTCTCCGGACAGTCGGAAAGTGATGTTCTGCAGCCTGAAGCAGACAATTGGCCGTCTTGGCTGCGTAGAGGCCCGGCTTGAGGCCACATTGGGGCAATCTGGAAGCCTCCCTGGGCCTCCTTGAAGCAATTTGGATTGGCCCCCTGTACGTCTCCTGTGAGCCTTGTGTGGCCTGGTGGGGGGCTTTGGTGGGCCTCGTCGAACCACTTGGGGACTCTTGTGGCCTCCTGTGGGCCTCTTAGGGCGAAAGGCTCTGCTGTTGGGTTCGCGTTCACCTTCTTGGGGCTCTCTTGGGGCCCTCTTGGGGCCCTCTCGGGCCGTCTTGGGCGCCTCGGGCACCGTCTTGGGGCCCTCGTGGGCCGTCTTGGGGCCCTCTTGGAGGCCTCTGCGGTCTTGGGGGCCTCTTGGGCCGTCTTGGAGCGTCGGGAAGCCAAAAGGCTGGGAACTTTAAAATCCATCAAAAGCCGATGGGAAAACATTGCTTCTTGGAACCTCTTCGGCCTTCTGGGGAGCTTCTTGAGGGCCTCTTGGGTCCCATTTGGGGGCCTCTGGGGCTTCCTGAGAGCCTCTCGGGGTGGAAGGCTCGGATTTTCGGTTCGTCTTACCCCTCTTGGGCCCCCCTTGGGGCCGTATTGGTGCCCTCTCGGGCTGTCTTGGGCCCTGTTGGAGGCCTCGTGGGCTATCTTGGATTGGTCTTGGAGGCCTTTTGGGCCGTCTTGGAGCGTCAGGACGCCAAAAGGCTGAAAACTCTAACATCAATCAAACACCTACGGCAAGACATGGATTTGTGCCTCTTGGGGCCTTCGTGGGAGGCCTCTTGGATACGCTTCGGCCCCCTGGGGGGGCTTCTTGGGGCCTCTTGGAGCCTGTTAGGGCTTCTCGGGGCCTCCTGAGAGCCTCTCGGGATGGAAGACTCGGATTTTCGGGACGCCTCTGGCGCCGTCTTGGCACCCCCGTGGGCTGTCTTGAGACCGTATTCGAGGCCTCTGGGGATGCCTTGGAGCGGAAATTGAAGCCTCTTGGGCCGTCGTGGGGCGTCAGGAAACTCAAAAGGCGAGAACTCGAAAATCGATCAAAAACCAAAGGAAAACAAATTAGTTGTGCCTCCTGGGGCTCCTTGGGAGCCATCTTGGAGACCTCTTGGGGCGTCTTGGAAGCCTCTTGGACAGTCAGGGACCAATTCTGGGGTGATCTCGGGCGGTCATTGGTCGTGTTCGTTGTCTGGAAACGCCATTTCTGGCAATCCAGGGCCGTCTTCTGGCGACTTTACAAGGCCCCCAGCGCCACGGCAAGGCCCCCAGGCCTCCCGGCGCGAGGGCCGTCCCTGGGCCGTCTCGGCGCCCTCGTGGGCCGTCTCGGCGCCCTCGTGGGGTGTCTGAAATCCATCAAAAATCGAAGGACAATCAATGATTTTGGCGCCCCTTTGGGCCGTGTTGGAAGCCTTGTGGGCCGTCTGGGGGCCATCTTGGGTGCGTTCGAACGATATGTCCTCGTTTCGGGGCCTCCTGGGGGCCTCTTGCGGCCCTTTTCGTTTGTGTTGGGGCTTTCTTGGGCCGTGTGGGGGCGGCCCTGGGCTGTCTCGGCGCCCTCTTGGAAGCCTGTTTGGGAGATTTCTGGGTGTCCTGGACCGTCCTCCTTCAACGTCGGCGGCACTGACCGTAAGACTTCCTGGCAACATGATTTGTTGGGGTGTCGTTGGGCGCCTCCGGAGGCTTCGGAACCTGACGCGTTTCCGAGCATGACGGCAGGTAGCGCTGCTTGGGGCTCTCGTGTTTTTATCCTGGCGGGCGTTTAGGGAACATGGTTTGGGGAGGAGGCGGCAACCCGAGAATCATGTTCCCGGGAAGCTTTCCGGGAACATGATTTGTTCGGCTCTCCTAACAGGGGGGCCTATGGGGGCTTACCGAAGGGCCCTTTTTGGCCTTGTCGGCAAGCCTATTGGAAACATGGTTGGGCGGTGGACGGAAGCCCAAGGAATCATGTTCCCGGAAAGCTCTGGGAAATACGATTTACCGAAGTCTCTTGGGGGCCCGCAGGGGGCCTCCCTGGGGCCCCTTAGGAACTTCTTGGGGCTTCCGGGGGGCCTCTTGGGAGCATCACGGGGCTTCTTGGGAGCCTCTTGATGGCCTCTGGGGGCGTCCTAGGAGCCTCTCAGGCTGGAGACCTTGAAATGTCGCGCTCTTCGGGCCCTCTTGGGTCGCTCTTGGGGCTCTCTTGGGGCGCTCTCGAAGCCCTGTTGAATTATCTGGGGAGCCTCCTGGGCCGTCTCTGGTCTTTCTTGGGAGCCTCTTCGGCCGTCTTGGAGCGATCTGAACGGCCTCTGACGCCGTCCGGGACCGTGGGGAGGCGGAACATGCGATAGCGCAAAAATGCGGGGCCCTGTGGAGGGGCCTCT